GTGAGGTGAGGACACTAACCTGGCCCAACCAATGCATCTAACAAAGGGGGGTTTAACAAAGCTCTCGTGGGTGCAAGGGCCTCGCCGGGGCAGATAGGGTGGGTGTTGGTATCCCAATGTATGGACTAAAGCACACAAACCCCGAGAGGTCAGACTTGCCCTCTGGGTTTCTGTCAGGGGAGCTCAGGTCTTTGTTCATGGTGGCAGCTCCTTACGGCCTGCAAGGCTTCGTGCGTCCCCACGATGCTGACTAGCCAAGATAAAGTTAGGACTATGGTATTTCCCACTCTGTCCTCTACGTGACAGAAAACTACAGAAATACCAGCTTTCTTCCTAATGCTGTTTCCCTTCTCTTAAAATATAGGAAAGTCCTTTAAGATTTCTTTTCCTGAATCTTACAACCCATTATTAAAGCCTTAGAGCAATGTTGGCAGAGAAAGCCAAAAAAAAAAAAGGAAATTGAAATCAGGAAGTTTGCTCCCAGCTTACCCTAGGATGATAAAAAAAAAAAAAAAAAAAAAACATGGCTAAGTTTCCAAACTCTTGAAAAGCTTATAAACACCAAAATAATTAACTATAACTTGGAGCACGTAATACCATTATAATTACATAAGGGAAAGGGGATAGGTTAGAAAAATAGTTTAAAGGAAATGACTTGTGAAATGTTGATTTGCCGTGTCAGATTGAAAAGATGGGCCTAGGAGGTATTTGCGGTAAACTACCCCTTATTAATTAAAAGTGTTGCACTTTTCTGTTTAAAATCTCACCTGTGGGGCGCCTGGGTGGCTCAGTTGGTTGGGCGACTGCCTTCGGCTCAGGTCATGATTCTGGAGTCCCTGGATCGAGTCCCGCATCGGGCTCCCTGCTCCGCAGGGAGTCTGCTTCTCCCTCTGACCCTGCCCCCTCTCATGTGCTCTCTCTCATTCTCTCTCTCTCAAATAAATAAATAAAATACAAAAAAAAAAAATTCTGCTTTAAAAAAATAAATAAAAAAACTAAAATCTCACCTTTTTTTTTTTTAAGGGATATTCTAACTTGTAGGTCAAAACCCTCATTTTTCTTTAAGTGGAAGCTTCTGTCCTAAGGCTTCACTTGTACTAAAGCGGAAACGGATTTTTAAATTTATCAAGGTCTACCCATCCATATAAAAACAATGACCATGGCTCAGCAGCTCGTCACCCCAGGCTGACACTGTGGCGCCAGGAGCTGTGGCGACTAGCGATTGTGTGCTTGTTCTCGGATTGCCGCTTCTGTTTCACGAACTCTGGCACCTCAACGTCAGTTCCAGCTGCTGCACGTTGGTGACGATGCACTGTGTATGGTGACAGTTTACAAGTAGACGGTGCAAACTTTCGCTTTTCAACCCCCCCCCCCCCCAATCTCTGATGGTTATTATGTTCTCCTCCCCTATCGGAGCCTTCCTGTTTTGAAGGAGTCCACTCCTGAAACATCTGCTGGGTTTACTCTTTCTAGTTATTTTTACCCATTCTCACACCATAGTGACATTAGGAAGACCCTATTTTGAACTTTATGTTCCATTTTTATTGGCACGATTTAAACAAGAGGTAGAGAAACATTAGGCAAAGGCACTGAGGTATAAAAAAGACTGATCTAAAAACAAATCCTTGCTGTTTCTCTTTCCAGCTGGGTGAGCTTCCACCACAGTTAAGGCTAGGGCAGGGCGGTGGGAAATGGTACTTTTTGGGTGCCTACTTTGTGTAAGGCGCTTTACGCTTTCCTTATTTCATCCAATAACCCTACAAGGTAAGTTCTTTCATCCCTACTCTTTTGGGATCTTATTCATTCATTTTTTAGTATATGTGCTGCTGAAGCGAACACTATTCATTTATTTTTTAAAGATTAATAAGAGACATAGTCCAAATCTAAAGCTCAAAGAATTTAACTAAGTTATGCAGAGTCACAGAGCTTTAAAAACAGAGCTAGGACTTAAGCTCAGCTCTAACACTGAATTTCAATAAACATTAGTTCTCCTCTGCTAGGGCAAGTACAGGGAATGGTAATTTGTATCATCGAAGGGATCAAAGGTTGATTTTATTGGGCAGAAATTTAAGAACTTAAGTTGCTTAGTTTAAAAGGTAGTTTTAATTACCCTTTTTAAAATGCGGAGATTCTCTAAGGAGTTGTTGAACAATTACTACCTATGTCCAGTAAAAACACCGAAAAGCTCAAAGTAGTACAATATATTTTGTATTTTCTGGGTATTTTTTCTGGGTTAATTTCATTGATAATTTCATTGATAGGACCTGTTGTTTGCAAGGCACTTTCCTGGGTGCTGAGAACCCTAAATGAATCAACTATGAATCTCATGGTCCAGCAAGAAGAGGCCAGAACACAAAAGGTGTGGAATATATGTTGGATTGCTCAATAATTAGATAATAAGACGTGATCATCTTCCTTGCAAGTCATTACTACATCTCTGGAATTCTTCATAGAAAACAAGGAAAGCAGTCCCCCCCTTCTAGCAAATATGCTAGAGGACAGAAAACCCTCAAAACTAGACAGCTTAGACTAGGGATTCCTAACTTTTGGGGAATGGTAACCACCTCAACCATGTTTCATTTTGTATTCCTTTCTCAAGAAGTAGTATGTCCATAGCTATTCATTCAATAAATCTTTACTACATGACCACTCTATTGAGGACATCACTATAGTACCAACATGGTCCTTTACTAACAGCTGCCTAGGACCACCTTCGCTCATCCTTTGGTTATGCAGCTTCTATGTAAGATACCATAGGTGGATTATTTTAAAATAAACCTTGAGTCATGAAATTATAGAGGTGACTAGAATGCTCCAAAATCATAAAATACAGGTTTCTTTCTTCAATGGAGTAAATTGCCAAACTCATGATTTCTAACAATGATTTGGGAGTAGCCCAGGCCGCCTGTGATTGCTTTAGTGATTTCAAGAGATCTCATAAAATTTTTAAGATTTTTATGTATACATTAAACAAATATAAACATGTTCATGCATATATCCAGGATTACTTGTATCAGAGAGATCTACGTGATTTATACTAGAGACTTTTAAGAGATGTCACACCTCATATTGTTTTATAATCTTTCTCTCTCTTAAAAGTACAATATAAATCAATTAGTTTTGAACTTAGACTAGAGGAAAACTCGGGGTTCCTTTCCTATCTGTAATTCATTTGAAACTATTAATCTTCAAAGATAAGCAAACCTAACATTTTTCATTCCCATTGCCCTCAAATTAATGTATATTTTGGTTTGATAAAATTCTTAGTCTAAGGACTGCCTGGGGGGCTCAGTCGGTTAAGCGGCTGATTATTGATTTCGGCTCAGGTCATGATCTCAGGGTCGTGGGATCGAGCCCCACATTGGGGCTCCCTCTCCCTCTGCTCCTCTCTCTCTCTCTCTCAAATAAATTAACTCTTTAAAAAAATTTCTTAGTCTAAAGTAATGAAGTAAAGACAATGAAAAAAATGACAATATAATACATGTACTTGATGGACTGTCTACCCTACTAATTATAAAAACAGGAAGAATACTAACAGCTAAGTTTTAATGAGTGCTTACTATGTGCCAGGGTAAATTCTCTGTATTTTCTCATTTAACTTTACAATACCGATCATTGAGGAAAACAAACTATCTTTAAAAAAATAAAAGTAGAGATAGATTTGACTTGATGCCATACTCTTGAGCTCCTCACTGGTATCACATCACTGAATAAAGAACTAAGAGGAAGCTGGACTCTCTTTTCCTATCAGGTTATACAACTGTACCTTCATTATTTTTGGCATTTTCCTATGGTTTGAAAAAAGTGTTGACAATTTTCTGCATCTATAACATTTCGGATGAGCAATTTCTATCCTATTGTGTTTCCTCACATATGGTGTTCTAGCTCAAACAGCACTAGTATTTTTAACTTGCACAATATTAGTAAGCCACTTTGAATTATTCTTCGCTGATAAGAATCCAAACTACCTAACATGAGAAAATTACATGTATTATTGACACTAGTGTGTTCACTGATTTTCAGACATAGATTACCCAGAATCACTGTATTTTACCGCTGAAAGGGATCACAAAGATGATCTAATCTACCTTTTTTTTTTTTTTTTTTTAAACAAATGAGAATCTACAGCAGACAGGTTTAAGTGTTTCTCCTAGGTCAGAGTAGCTGGTTAGTAGTAGAAAAAACTAACATTCCAGTGCTTTTTCTACATTAAAAAGTCACTATTAAAATCCACATTATTTTGCAGTGCCCTACAGAGGATGTACCAATCATAAGTAATGGGCATTTTCAAATAATTGGCACATTTTTATAATACTGTATTATCCTCAGTACTGAAATTTGACACTTACGACAATCAGTTACATACTACTATTGTGTATCATTGTTCACATTTTTTTTCAGTATGTATGTCTTGTATTCCTAACTAGATTGTGACTTTTCTGTGGTAGGCATAATTATCTTTTTAAAATGCTTCTAACATCCCTCAATAAATCTACATATATATGAACTGCTTAACAATTGGAAAGAGATTGACATAAATATATTTATTTAGATTTTAGTCTTATACTACATGACTCAAAATAGAACCAAACAACTTTCATTTTGTATGGATGCAGGTGAATTTGTTTTGAAAGGGACAAAGTTGAGAAATTCCTCATTTATTCACAGCAAGCAGTTGGGAATGTCCCTGAAGGTGAGTGGTTTTAGGAGCTTGAAGAGATTGGTGAAGGATGGAATCAATATTAGAGGGACTGACGAGAGAGTTGACTAAGTCTTAAAGACATGGGGTAGCATATCACATCAAACTGCTCAATCAAAACCCGAGCTAATAATGACCAAGGACTGACCATGAGTATGCCAACCCCCCATCAGTACTCTGCCTGTATTAAATCATCCACACCTGAGGACAACCTTAAGAATATTTTCATTTTGTGGATGAAGACATCGAAGCTCAGAGATAATAGATCATTTGCCCAACTGAAGCAGCTACTAAGGGGTGGAACAAGGATTCAAACACCGACTGTGCCGAAGGCCTATGCTCCCAGAGACTGATGACTAGGATAAAACCAGGTAAGTATGTGGTGTTTAATACAGTGCTGAACAAAGGCCTGGCTCTCAAGCAGGAGCTCAATTGTTAGTTCCCCCATTTGGGGGTTTTCAACCCGCTCTCCCCATACGTATTTACCCACCCAATCCTTATTCCCCAAACACGTATTTACACACACTCCACTCTTTTTACCAGCTCAGTTGTGTAGGTAACTAGATATCAAACTTCTATTCATATATTCTTCTTCCTCATAGGAGGGACTTAAGCTCACGTATGTACAATGAGTCCGGCGACCAAACTCGACTCTCTCCACATTACTCCAGGTAAATGTAAATACATACTAATACTGGCTCTGGGTCACAAAACATGCGCACATGCATAGCTTGGTTATGCAGCAGAATTCAACTCAATAAGGATTTTTCTTTTCCCATTATCCAGGCAAGTGCAAGAGTTACCATGGCTGATTCCAAAGACATTTGGCTCTGGTAGTGGAAACTGGGAAGCAATGGCGAAATGAGGTAAGAAAATCCGGGGCCAGAAGGTGGACGCAAGTCATCAACTTGCTCTTTTTGGATGAGCGCTACTAATACCAACCCCAACCTGCTGCCAAAGCCTACCGTCCCCTCCGCCCGATTCTGAACCCCATTCAGGCTGGAGCAGATGCACACACCGCGGGGAGTCTCGTTTGCAGGAGATGAGTGTTCCCTTGCTCTATTTTAATGCTCGCTGCCGGGCCGGGGAAGGAAGATTGGCCAGAAATCGTGGAGAACAGCGACAGCCAAGCTTTTTCAAGTAAAGACTAGTCAGCCCAGGAACAGCGAATCATGACTTGCACAGTATTTAACGGTTCACGTGAACAAGTTCCTCTCCTGCCTGCGCGCACTTTCGGAGCCAGCCGCCGCAGACGTGGGCAACGCCGGGAGGCCTCCTGCCAGGCTCTGCGGGGACGCAGGCAGTACAGCCTCCAGCACCAGAGCCGAGGGCCGCGGGGGAGGCCCTGGGAACCGCCCCTTGCCGATCCCCAAGGCCAAAGTGGGCCTTAATGAACACTCAGCCCGGCCCGATAAGAAAGGCCAAGTTCAAACACACATCGTTCAGCCTGGGGCGGGTCCGGGAAGGACGCCCAGAGACCCGGCCACCAGCCCCTGCTTGGCCCTGCGGGCGCACCCGCGAGCTTGCGGGGCCGAGCCGGATTACTGCGCCTGCGCGCTCCGGCTCCGCCCCCAAGCCGCTTTCCGAGGCCGCGCGCCGGGAGCCCGCCGTCGCTTGGCAACTTGCGAGTCACAGTCGCGGCCCTCCGCGCGCCCCTTTCCCCGCAGGGCTTAGTCCCAGATCGTCCCGTGAGGCTCCTCGCTGCCTCGTGTCAGGCCGTGGGAGCCCATGGAGGTAAAGGAGGATAAGCAGCAGTAAGTGCTGGGGTTTGGTTTTCTTTCCCCTTCTGAAAATATTTCCTTCCTTCCTTCGGGGAGGGTGAAGTGAGACCCGAGGGGTGGGTCCTCGGGCCATCATTAGAGCTTCTCCTCTTCCATCCTAGTAGTTGAGCGCGCTCACCGGAATATATTTTTAAAACACTTACTGGGCACCCACTGTGTGTCGGGCACTTTACATGCATTGCATCTGGCCCAGCATTCTTCAAGTCCCATGGAATCATCCACTCCTTCTCACACCCTACATCTAAATTATTAGAAAATTCTGTAGCCTTTACTTTTAAAATATATCCAGAATTCCAGTATAATCCCCACCCTCGCCCAGCTACCAGCGTCTCTTACCTGGATGTTGTTAACAGTCTCGGCTGCTCCGCTTGCCTCTCTGCAGCGTCCTCAACATAGCAGTCTGGTCTTTTTTTTTTTTAACAACGTAGGTTAGATCACTATTCTCCATTGGCCCTTGCAGAGTAAGAGCTAGGGTCCTTACAGTGGCCTGAGGGCCCTACACAAACTGCCCCTTTTCCTTTATTGGGTCTTACCGCTTGCCCTCCCACTCCACTTGGCTCCAGCACGCAGGCCTCCGTGCTAGCAGTGATTCTCAAAGTGTGCTTCCCTCCCGCCCATCCAGCATCACCTGAGAACTGATTAGAAATGCATATTCTTGCAGGCTCCCCACCACACATATACTGAATCAGAAATTTGGAGTTGAGAACAATAATCTGGGTTTTAAGAAGCCTCCAGGTGATTCTGATGTACCCTAAATTTTAAGAACTATTGACCAAGGTGTTACAGCTAATACCACATGGCCAGGGGTATCTGCTTCCAAAGCCTGTATTTTTGTCACTGAACAGTGGTTCTCAACATACATAAGAATCACCTGGAGAGCTGGTTAAAACAGTTTCCTGAGGATCTGCCTCAGGTTGGGATGGGGCCAGTGAATTTGTGCTTCTAACAAGGTAAATTGATGTTAATGCAGCTACTTCCGGGACCATACTTTGAGAAGCACCTAAGGACAGGTGCTTCTGTTGCAATGCTTTGACAATTACAGTTCACTCTGCTAGAACACCCTTCCTCAAATATCCTCTTAGCTCGCTCCCCTCTTTCCTTTTTTCAGTTGCCACCTTCATAATGCAGCCTCCACCCTGTCTAAAAATGCAGCCTCTCTCCCACATACATGCACTTCTTTTCCCCATTCCCTGCTCTGTTGTTGTCCTCAGCACTTAACACCATCCAAAAGACTGTATGTTTTACTTATTATTTGATTTCTCCATCTGCCTTCCCTCACTAGAATGTAAGTTCTGTGAGGGCAGGAATTTTTGTTTCGTCACTCCCCTATCCTCAGTGCCGAGCAGCACCAGGCACAAAATTCAATAAATATCTGTTGAAAGAATGAATTATTCAATGTTATTGTCACATCTCTCTCAATAGGCATTCTTGCCCTTACCATGCAAAGGAGGAAACCAAGACTCAGATATTAAATGGCAGAGTTGGGATTCCAACCCAGGTCTAACTTTCTTCACTGCCCATTAGTGTTTTTGTATTTCCTTCTAGTAAGAAATTACTACAGAATCAGGGCGCCCGGGTGGCTCAGTTGGTTAAGCGACTGCCTTCGGCTCAGGTCATGATCCTGGAGTCCCTGGATCGAGTCCCGCATCGGGCTCCCTGCTCGGCGGGGAGCCTGCTTCTCCCTCTGACCCTCCTCCCTCTCATGCTCTCTGTCTCTCATTCTCTCTCTCTCAAATAAATAAATAAAATCTTTAAAAAAAAAAAAAAAGAAATCACTACAGAATCATATAGTTCTATGTGTTAATCTATAACTACTCACACCACAATACTTAATTGAACAAATGCGTATGTAAGCAAGCATATAGCCACAGTCGGACCTTCCTTCAAGGATGTGATGCTAGTGCAAGTGTATTGCTGAGTTACAACCATGAGAAGCAGATGGAAAAAATTGATATCAGATGTATATAATAAATTGTATCTTTCCAGAGATACAAGTTTTTTTTTTTAAGGTAATAGAAAAAGCCTTAGAAGTTATTCACACTTGACCAGTAATCAGTTTTTCCAAAACCTTTACAGAGAGCAATTTTTGTTGGGGCTGCAGGGAGCTAGAATCCAAGGGTGCTGAATGTTGTCTGTATGTGTACTGGAGTGGGGGTTGGGAGTATACAGCTACACTAAGCCAGACTAAAAAACAATCCCAGCAGATTCACCAGAAATATGCAAATACTGTAATGGCGGTCCATTTACCTGTGATGAACAGGATGCTTCCTCAGGTAGCTACTTAATGATGATTCACATTCCTCTATTTCATTCTTTATTTTCCAAGAATGTGAAATTTTAAAATACTGCCTTTTATAATCTCTGTCACTCTTTATTTAAAAGAGAAACTTTCTATAAATTCTTTCTAAACATTTTTTAATATTTTAAAAAATTCAATAATGTTCATTTTGGTACCAGTCTAGTTATTAAAAGCAAAAAGTGATGAGATTGAATTGATTTTTCTCAGGCCTACACAGTGGTCTTTTCCTGAAAAGGTAAATAATAGTGGTCATTTGGTAGCTTTTATAAGTTTTGCCAAGTGAACTTTTAAAATTAAATAGCTATCCTTGTCCAGGTGACTGAATTTACTAAGTAACTTTTCTTTTTAAGATTCATTCATTTATTTGAGAGAGAGAGAGTATGTGTGTAGGGTGAGGGAAGGAGGGACAGGGAGAGAGGGAGATAGAGAATCTCAAGCAGACTCCCCACTGAGCATGGAGCCTGACACTGGGCTGGATCCCTGGATCCCAAGATCATGACCTGAGCCAGAATCAAGAGTCAAGCTCCATCCTGGACCCCAAGATCATGACCTGAGCCAAAATCAAGAGTCAGTCGCTCAACCTACTGAGTCACCCAGGCGCCCCTTAAGTAACTAACTTCTAAAGAAGATGAGTTAAGATTAGCATGTAACTCACCTTCATGAATAAATGCTGCAAACAGGATCTGTAACCATGATCAAATCACTACTCTTTTTTTATTCCAAGCAAGTGAAAGTCTGTACAATGCACTGGTGTATTGTTATGAATAATCATTATTAACACAAATCCCTTTATCTTTTATATGATTTAAAATGACAAGATACCCTTCCATATTTTAATTGCACAAGTCCCTTATAACTATTAATAAAGCCTAAATTGTCTTGACTGATACTTGAAATATATTTAAATTTTATTTTATACAATTATGACACAGTCCTAAAATGCTCATTGGGATACATTACTTACTATTTAATTCTGTTTTTCAGAGAGCATAAAATAGAAGATGCTGGTATAGTGTATGTAACTGAAAAAAAAGAAGAAATCAAACATGACAAAAAACCTGGAAAAAGTATACAACAGTCAAAACCATGTGTCGGGAGAGGACGTGTATATTATGCGAAATTCATTCATACAAATGCAAGAACATTCAATGAACCAGTTCCCTACATAGATCCCAAAAAAGGGCCAGAAAAGCAGGTTGGATGGATGTTCCTTATATACAAATACAGATTTAGATTCAGAAGCTGTTTTGCAGGATAATTTGGTCACAGACTACATAAAGGATGTGACATATTTCAGACTAATACTTTTTATAATCCAGTAGTTAAAAGCAGTAACCTGAGACTATTCTCCCAAATAACTATTGCATATAAACAATATATAAAAAGGGAAAGAATCCAAATAACCATTTTTCTAGATTGAGTCAGATTATGGCCACTTAGTAGTGCTTGGCAGGTACTGAAGAAATCTATAATATTGTATTTGTGTCACATATTCTAATATAAAAAATTCCCATGATACTCTCTATAAAATAATAGCTACCATTTATTTAAAGTGTGTGAAGTGCTAGGGATGAGCTAAGTGTTTTATTTTATTTTTTTTATTTATTTTTTTTTATTTTTTTATTTTTTTAAAGATTTTATTTATTTATTTGACAGAGAGAGGTAGAGGCACAGCGAGAGAGGGAACACAAGCAGGGGGAGTAGGAAAGAGAGAAGCAGGCTTCCCACCGAGCAGGGAGCCCGATGCGGGGCTCGATCCCAGGACCCTGGGACCATGACCGGAGCTGAAGGCAGTCGCTTAACCAACTGAGCCACCCAGGCGCCCCGAGCTAAGTGTTTTATATAAGTTATATCCTTTAATCTGTGCAACAGTTTTTAGGGGTTAGTATTAGAAATATTTTACAGACGATAATGTATCGTGATGAGATGACATGGTGAGCAAATGTCACAGTCGTGTTTCTGACACAGGACTGTTGGTTTAGTCAAACCACACTTTTATTCTCTATCGTACTAAAATATATTTCATTATCTTCTTTCTTTAAACTTAGGTTTGTTGAGGTATAATTTATTCTGTTAGTTTCCTGTTCCTAATGTTACAAATTACCACAAATTTAAACACTAGCTTAAAGCAACACAAATTTATTCTCAACATTTCTTGAGCTCAGAAGTCCAAAATCAGTCTCCTTAGCTATTAGCAGGGCTGGTTTCCTTCTGGAGGATTTAAGGGAAAATCCAGTTCCTTGCCTTTTCCAGCTTTTAGAAGCTGCCTGCACTCCATGGCTCGTGGCCCCTTCCTCTTGAAAGCCAGCAGCATGGCATCTTCAAATCTTTCTCTGACTCTCCTGCCTCCCTCTTCCAAGGATGGGTGTGATTACATTGGGCCCACCTAGATAATCCTGGATAATGTCCTCTTCCCAAGATGTTTAACTTAATCTCAGCTGCAAAGTTCCTTTTGCCATGTGAGTTTATGTGTAGTTGTGATTTAACATTTAAATGGAGATTGCTTTTAGCGACCTATCTTCACATCAATAACATCCAATGTTCTTATCTTAAAATAGATAACATACCAGGTCACTGTGTTTGAATGGGAGATCTTCTTGGGGCAGGAATTAATGTAGTCATATATGCATTAATGTCATGTAATAAAACTTCATGTGGGCAATTTTAAGGCTATTTTGTTTTATAAATAAGCAATTATTGGGGGATTTAAAAGATATTGATAGTCCAGGCCTAAAATGGGGAAATAAGTCTGGTCCAGAAATCCAGGTTAGTGAAGTTCCCATGTTTCTTACAAAAGTTAATGAATGACTTCCTGAGCTCTAAGTCAGGGCTGAATTAAGACCTAACTGTTAACTGAACCCACCCTTACCTTGGAGATACTAAGGAAAAGAAATGGGTTTTAGAATGGAGATATAAAATGTAAAAATCTCAAAAAAATCAATCAACTACTTTTCTCTTACTCTTAGTTGATAGGTGTCTTGAGAAAGGTAGTATTAGGAGCTGCTGTCCCTATGGGGCAACATAATAGCAGTAGGATCCTTGTTTATGGGTACTAAAGGCTAACTGAGTCAGGGACCTTTAAGAGATGGTAAAAGGAAGTTTGAGATGAAGTAAGAGGACAGGGAAGAGAGACTGCTGGTGGACATGAGTGAGGAGGTATAAAGAAAGACTGAAGATGCATCACAGAGTTAAGACTGTATTTGTTTTGGGCGTGGAGTGAAGGCACTGTTCATATTTAAAAAACAAAAACAGCAATATAAGTGTACTCACTTCCATGGACTGGAGGAGTAATAAAAGAATGCTCGTTTCACGTATCTGTACACTTTGTTCCTTTATTTAAGATGACAGGTTTCTTTTTAAAGGTTAGTTTGGTTGTTTTAAAAAATTAACTGGTTTAGGGTAGTGCTGGCTTTAATGCAAGAGTAAAGAAAATAATGTTGCCTAATATTTAAAGTGACACATCTGCTCTCCTATGTGTTTTGCTAAGATAACAGCTTAAGAACCTAACACCAGATTGGTTGGTTTTACTTATTTACAAGATATTTAAATAAAACAACCACACAGTTCTATATAGGGACATAAAATTGGGGGTGCCAGAAAAAGTAAAAAAGCTGTAGCTCGGTCACTGCCAATCACAAGAGTTTGGTGGTCTTGTGTTTTTAAAAGAGATTATACTAGGTCATTATGTTCCAAAGTATATGTTTCAGAGCATTAGCCCTGCCTATGTGCTCAATAAAATAACATTCCAAAGTCAATACATTTTGGAAAAGCTATATATTTAGATCTTAAAGCTTCACAAATCCCATTTGTATAGAAAGGTTCTAAGAAATCCCGTGATAAACTTATTTCACTTTATTTACCTCAGTATTTCCCAAATTTATTTAACTTTGGAAACCTTTTTTATATAACACCTTTTAATATGCCACAGAACTAGTATTCCACAGAACACAATTTAGGAATAACTTATCAGGGACATTATGGGTTGCTTAAAAAGAGCTATTTTCAGCACTCCCAGTATCCACAGCAAAATAGAGATGAACATAGATAAAATGTACCTCTAGAGTTTCCCATAACACTTCAATGTTTTAAAGCCTTTGAGCTCCCCTAATAAAACGTGATTCTCTGTAAAGTGTTGTCAAAAGTCCATATTTCCCTAGGAATCCCCCAAGGAGGATTTTGTGTTCCACAGAGGACCGCCCCTGGCGGCAGCCGTCTTTGTCAGGCTGCCGTGGAGTTCTACCTACCACCTCTTGCATTCTCTTAACTGGTTTCTCCAGGTTGCCCCAATTGCCTTTACTACTTCTCCGCCCAAGACTCTCCCTTAATTTCCCAAAGAATGAAAACTAATTAATGTCTCAATGCCTTTCTGAAGGCTTAGAGATAGCAGAAGTATAACAAAGACCGCCTCACAGTGGTTTCCAAAGGTGGCTAAGGAGTTCACAGTATAATGGCCATCAGGTCTTCCACAGGTGGGGGTTAGTGGGAGCCTCTGCCTCAGGAATCTCTAGATGTCTCCATACCATGGAGCTGCAATGACTGTTATCCTGAAGCAGGAAAGACCGGTCTTGGGCTAGAAGGGGAGGCATCCTGCTTTCTCTGGGTCCAAAGTTTTGAACTGAGATCAACTACCTCTTTAGGCAAAACCCCTTCCACAATCTGTAAGAGTTGGACTGACCCCTGAAGCCTAGACAAAGCAATCACAGTAGAAAACTTTTCCCAGTTTGGCTTATTTCATCATAAATAATTCATATCAACCCCTCACAATCCACTTCAAGTGATGGTGCAGTAAATTTTTATACTTAGCCTTTCCCTTCAACATGGAGTGAAGGAAAAAAACAAGCTCTCACCTATCTCTTTAATCTTATCATCTTTTATGAGCAAATGCTTGTACCAACATGGCATGTACATGTGCACAGGCCCATATACATTCTCACTCTTCCAGGAACAAACCAGACTCTTCAGGCAAAGGGCAGACTATCCAGAAATAGAAAACAGAAAAACAGCATTTTTTGAACTGTAGGATTTCATTCTGCTGAAGTGAAGCTTCATCCCACTTACAACACCCATCAGAATACTTCCCCAGCTCTGAGGTCTTCAAGTCATCAGTCACACTTGAGGAAACATTGTTCATTATTTCCTTTATATTTTATGAAACTAAAGAGACCATTTCGGTAAAATTCTAAATTCATAAGAAATCTTGAGAGGTGAATTGATTATCTCTGCTTTTGGGGTAACTTTTGCAATATATTCTTGTTCAAAAAATAATTGAATGCTGCCAGGCATTTGCTAGCAGTTTGCTCATCCCAGAGTCACTTACATGGTAACTTGGGTGTTAGCAAAATAAGTTTCTGATCAACAAAAGAAGATAATATACAGTGTACTCCTTAAAACCTTTTCATAGAAGATCTTTCTCAAGATACTTAAAATCTCTCTATTGTTACTTCTGAAATAATTTAAGTAGGTTTGTGCTTCTGTGGCTTTGCATTCTACAGCAGATTTGATAAAGCAATGTAGCATGGAAATTAGAGGCATGCATGGATGGAGGCAAGGGTCTGACTTGGACAGCTCTGTTGTCTGCTAGGGATACACTTTGGGGAAGTTAATCTCCCAGCAGTTTTCTCATCTATAAAGTGGGTATATCTACTCGCAGAATCATGGTGAGGGTAAGTGAGAAAAGGCCTATAAATCTGAGACGTTGAGGCATAATAAGCACTATCATAATCGTGCAGTGGAGGAGGCCTGCAAGAAGCAGGCATTCTGACAACAGTTAGATGTGACTATTTTCAGCCAGATAGTGAGAAGACACCATCTGTTTAGTAATCTGTTCTAGAATTCCCAGGATCGACATCAAGTACTCTTAAGTTTTGTAATTCACCTTTCAGCCCATCTCTCCTGTTCTCCAAAATTCCCTGGTTCCTAAATTCCTTTGATCTCTGCAAACGTATTCATTACCCAGGGGTTACAATTTGTCATTGGCCTAAAAACTAGCACTCATTTAAAGTTGCCAAGTGAGGTCTAACTCTCTCTTACATTAGTCAGGGCTCAGTTCCCTCTTAGGTCCACGTTCATCCTGTGTTTTTCAGCTTGAAGATAATTTCCCTTAACGAAGAACCTAAGTTGAGGAGCTCTGATTTTTTGCTCTGAATTGCATACTCTTCTTCAAATTCTTAGACTTTCTGTGATTTCTTGATATAAGATTTTTTTTTCTCCCAGAAAACCCTATTTTTGCTGCCTTTGGTATATTTCATGAATTTCTTCTAAGCTTCTTGACAATCTCCTGACAAGGTGACCCCATGAAATTATTTTTTTTTAATTTGATATTGTACACCTCTTTTATACATGCCTGTCTTTTTAGAAACTAAGCTACTTTGGGAGCTGACTCCCTGTGGAGTCAGATGTCTTCAAATGCCTCTTTTCATAGCACTGTAGCTTCAATTGCACTGTCAGAATTTTACTTATGTGAATCTCATATTCATCCCCCTTGAATCATATTTTTCAAGTCTCTGACTACAAAATCATGGTTGATTTTTTAAAAGCCTGATCTCTCTCCTCAAAGCCCAAAGTAGGTGTTCGATTATACCTAAAGTTTCTTTCACTGTCTAATAATATCCAAGAACTCCCAGGTGTCACAGTTGCCCTTTCCCAAGGTTGTCTTAAGTCTACCTGATCAACCAGATTTAAAAGAAAAATGTTTACTTAGAATTAAGTTTAGTAAGTTTCCCCTCACTGTTTTCACAACTTCTAAGAGATCAGATTCTAATATGTGCTCATGGAGAATCTATCAATTCTCCCTTTCCTGGGTACTTAAGTCAGGTTTTACCATCAAAAATTCAGTAACATTGGAGATATTTTTCGTTAGAACAAAGTTTTTCAAACTGAGGCATTAGGTGGGTTATAAAGCACTGTGGTTTGCAACTAGCATTGTGAAATGAAATGGAAGAGATAAATGATAAAATAGAAAAATAGTCAAGTGTACTGCATGTAGTAAGAATAAATATTGTGAAACTGAGTTTTATGTTTGTGTATGCATTGTGTGTTCTTGCATGGCAGAGTCTATTTCACTGTGTGCATCATGGACTGAAAACTATGAAAAGCACCATCTTAGATGATAATACATTATTTGTATTTTCATAATGAAAAGTATAGAACATAATTTTTAGATTAAATCAAGCCATATATATACATGTATGTACATATATATAATAAAATGGTAGTACAAAATATAGAAATATAACTACTTGATTTTTACCACTCCACTTCTGTTGACAGGAAGTAGTTTAAGAATTTAGCAGCTATCTTTTAGCTAAAAATATGTGATAATTCACTTTTAAGTACCTTTTAAAAAATTCAGTCTTTGTAAAAATATACTTATTCCTAGATCTCAGGATTCCATTTTAGTACTAGAATATCCAATAACTTATTGAATCAAATCACTGAACATTCAGACATCAAGCAGCACATGAAAATGTTCTAAGGTATTCAATTTTGTGTTTCCAATTTTTTTCCCATAAAGGGTGACTGGTGGTCACATGGTAAAAGACTGGAGCATCCCTTCCAACCATCTTATGACACTAAGAGCACCCAGAGGAGTGACTTTCAAAAACCAGCATGTCCATTGGTTTTGCCAGTCAAACACAGCAAGTTGCAAAAGCCTTCTTGTGGAATAGGTAAGTTTAGCTGTGATAAAGCTTCTTTCCCATTCTCTCACATTACTGCTATCGAATTAAGGTGTGTTAGATGTACTGGCACCTCTTGAGAAAATCACTTCTCTATAGGGGTTGAAAATACACATACAGCAAATGCAACCCTTAACAAGTCTGTTCTTTATCCCTTCTTGGTGGACAGCTTATCTCCAAACATATTTACTATCACATAATAAAAATTGGCTTGATCATTGATAACACCAGCCTCCAAGTCACATACTTAGTAGCATTCTGCTCATTATTGTTGTCACCAAACTTTAAAAAGTATAACTAAGGAAAATTGTAGGCAGTATTTCTCTAAGCACACTCTGAGGGATGCTAGTTCCTTACGATGTTTGTAGATGCTCAAAAAAAGAGGGAAGTGGTCAAATAAGTTTTGTAAAAACTGAATTTATAAAGCCAAACAGATGTTTTAAGCCATAGAACTCTTAAAACCCTTACTGTAAGCACAAGCATAATGTATTCCAAGAAGAGGAATAAAGAATGTTTTGTTTTCCCCAATATTGACCACCTCACCCTTTTTTGAGGAGATTATTTCAGATGACTGGTATCCCATAAAACAACGTAGGAAATACTGTTACATGGACTGTTAAAACATTGTCCGATCTTAAAGTTATTTACCTGACAACGTTATTATAATAAACTAAGTCTTTCATATTTAGTCAGTTTCTATCTGTTTCCTACCACATTTTCTAGTCATCTCTACTGCTGGAGTAGAATTTAGCAGGTCTTAAAGAAGTGCAGGATCAAGTCGAAACAAAAATGTATTTAGTGAGTACCCACTCTGGTTGTCACTCCATATAAAAGTTCATAAGCTAAACTTCAAATAATTTTCTGAACATGACAGTAGATAACAAAGGGTTACTTTTATTGGTCAGCTGTCCCTTACTTAATTTTAGCCTTCAGACCTCTGTGATCTGGCCAGTTTAGTTAAGGATACAAAGGGCAGGTAGATTGAAGATCAGAGCATTACAAAATGGTCATATTCAGCATGATTTCCACTTCAAGGGTGGTAGTTAATGGAGAGGACTGTTAGATAATCTGTAACGTGATCTCTCCTTTAGAAAGGTAATGAAGTTTGCACTTCTGATTCAGGATGTTAGACTGAACATAGACATCTAAATCCCCCACCTCCCAAGACTCTATTAAGTGATAGTAAAGCAATCAACCCATAAAGATGAAGAGAATGGAAAGAAGAACTTTCTGCAGTGTGGGAAGGAATGAAAACTTGTTGCTGTATTAAAGAAAGCAAAGAAGCAATATTCCAGAAAAGATAGAGGGAAAGGCAGCAAAGAGCCAATCTACCCGAAAGAACCTCAAAGTAGCTGGAGGCTCAGTCAGCAGGCAAAGCAGAAGGCAAGAATGAATCCAGGGAGAGAATCCAAGGGTGACCTGAAAGTCTGTCGTTTAAATAATCACTTCAGTCATGAACATTCTATTCTACACCAACATTAAGACTAGTGGAGCCCAGTGTCTCAGCCAGCTAGTCAATTACTACACCAGTTACTTTTTTTTTTGTAATTCAAGTTGATCTCTTATCCTATTCTTAGTTTATGAATGGACAGCCAAAGATTACAATTATGCCAAATTATTATTTTTTTTTAATGTTTGGAGGGTAAAGTCAAGGAAACATCACAGAACATAAAACAACAACAGCAGCAACAACAAAAAACTAGAAAATATGAGAGAATAAAAGCAAAGTGGAGAATCAGTCTGGGAGGTCCAACTTTTCTGGAGCTCCAGAAAAGCAAGGAATAAAATTGAAACTGGAGATAATTATCAACACATAAAACTTATTGAGCACATACTATTTGCCAAGCACTTTATGGAACTTCCTAAATATTGCTCATTCAATTCTCATTCCAACCCTAAGGAATATATTAGTATGGTAATATTATTAATACTCTCATTTTTCAGATAAGAAAGCAAGCACAGAGTTTAAATAATTTGCCCAAGGCTACAGAGCAAATAACTGGTATTTGAACTCAGTCTACCTCCAATTAAAACCAGTACTCTAGAATAATAGAATAACACAGCCTCTAGAATAATAAAAAAGTTTCCCAATGTAAGAGAGTGAGGCATTAAAGGAGTCTACTGAGTGCTTCTAAGTATGAAGGGACAAAAGATACAACCTATATATCATTATGAAATTGCAAAGCAATAATTACAAAAAGAAGATTCTGTAAGTTTCCATAAAGAGAAAGAAAAATTAGTCACTGTCTAAGAAATAAGAATCAGTATGGAATCAAGAAGTACTGATGCAAAAGTGAAATGGAGTTATGTCTTCAAAGTTTCCAGGGGAAAATTTTTTTTAGTTGGAAAAGAGGGTTTATTTAACACAAATACTAGAACCATTCTTTTTCAAGTGGCACCAGGCTTTGGACACAGTGAGAAAAAAACGTAGTCCCAGCACAATATTTGGCCCTGAAGTGAACAAAATTCATATAGTTATATTATAAATGCTATTTTGTAGTTTTCAACTTTTAGCATTATATAAATACAGTATGGAAAATTTAAATGTGTGTACAGAACAGAATTATGTTACTAGCCTTAACAAGAAAAGCACATCAACAGTTGACAGAAAATGGGAAGTAGAAAGAAGGCCACTAATATCTTTATTTAACATGAGTACCCAAGAGATACTACCCAAAGCAGATGAAACAAGGAATAGAAGTTTAAGGTTGAAGTCAAAGGAACTAATATAAGAACCAATTTCTCTCTCTAGCCCTGACCTCTTTGCTGAACCTCGAACTCCCGTCCAGCCACCAACCTAACATCTTTTCTTGGAGAGCTAATCTCCTTTCAAACTTAACATGGCTCGGATAGAACGGTTCCTTTCCCCCCATTCAAACCTGTCCCCTGCCAGTTTTCCTCTTTTCAATAAATGCCACTTCTATTCCCCCTCAAGTTTGGATAACCTAGAAGTCATTCCAAAACTCCCTACTCTCTATAGCCAATCTATCAGCAAATCTTGACACCTCTATCTCCAAAATACTCCAAATCTTACTAATGTTGTACAGTTCCTGTTACCCTGCTTTCTCTCTTTCTCCTGCAAAATATGTTTTCCACACCATTGTTAGAAGGATCTTTTAAAAACACAAATGATATTGCTTTCCTCCATTAGATGAGTTACGTCTCATTGTTTGTAAAGTTGATTTCAAATTCCTCCTCATGGCCTACACGGTCCTGTTTAATCTATGGAATCTATCCCCTATTGCTCATGATATCATGAGAGGGACATTTCAAGAAGGGGCAATTAACTCAGGCCAAGGAGGCAGAGAATGTTCTCTGAAAATCATGGTTATTTCCAAAATGATTTATGCCTGTGCATTTGTTACTGTATTTCCATAATTAATTTATTCTTATAAATTAAAATCTGAGTACTAAGAGAGTTTCTAGAATACATTCAAAGTTGGATACTTTGGAAAGGCTTGCCAAAAGGTGATGAACTTTTTTAAAAAAAGATTTTATTTATTTATTTGAGGCAGGGGGGAGACAGAACGTGAGCAGGGGGAGGAGCAGAGGGAGAGGGACAAGTAGATGTGGGGCTTGATCTCACGATCCTGAGATCATGACCTGAGCCAAAATCAAGAGTTGGATGCTTAACTGAGCGACCCAGGTGCCCCTCAAAGTCACTAACTTTTAAAAGTGCTAATTAGGTGTGGACAAAATCACTACAAGAGAGGAGCTGGAATGAATTTTTTAAATCTTGAAGGATTCTGCAGTCATTTTATTTCAGATGTGTCTTTAAGTTTCCATTCTGTTTTAAAGAAACAAACTAGAAAGGTTACATTAGGGGTGTGGTTTACACAAGAAACACACAGTGCAATTCCAATCAATGGATACTCCCGCAAAGGAAATGCATTGGCATTCCAGTAAAAATTTGGAGACTGAACTGGTTAGAATAAAGTATCTAAGTTTAGTATATATAATACTCCACAATTCTTTGTTTTAACTTTTTTGGTTAAGTAACCAGTCAGATCCCAGTTTTTTCTCATAAGGTGGGGTTGCTTCTACTCTAGTTCAGTATGGGACATGGTAGAAGATGAGAGCAGAGAGCTAGGTTTTGTTCTAGGATGACCAGGCAAGGCCCAGCCATTTCATAAGAGACCCCCAACCCCCCAACATCAATGCCTATCGGTCTGTTCTGTTGTGCCAGTCTATTTTCCCAGAGTGGAATCCTCCAAACCTCTGCTGGAGTGAGGAACAAAAACTCTGGGAATTTCTCCAATAATCCTCTGTTGGAAACTTCACCTTGTCACATGCTCCCTGCCCCAGAGCTGTCAGATGCCTCCATTTTTGGAGCCTTACTGGGACCCCACCCCATCCCCATAAGCACTTAGCTTCCAGTTTTTTTGTGGTCTACTCAAGTTCATTGCCATTTAACAATCTGCTTTCCAGTTTCCAAATTTGTTATTATTTTTGCTCTCATTTAGTTCTCTTTTTTCCTAAGGATTTAAGCTTTTCAAGGTCTTTACTATCATTGTACTGGTGTTTTGGGAGGGGGTGAGGGAAATGCAGATGTTGAATTTGTCATGTTTAACTGGAAATCATGGTCATCTTATCACCATCAATACTCCCTCCCCGTAGAATTTAATACTGATTTAGCACTTATAGTGGTTTGATCCTAGGCCCATTACTTAAATTTCATCATTTTATTTCCTCAATTCAAGAAGTGGGAATAATAATCCCTACTTTGCAGGATTGTTAGGAGAAATAAAAAATATGTCAAGTGCCTACCACAGTGCTTGGTACATAGGAGACAACAAATGCAAGTTATTTCTTTTATTAATTATTGCATTGTACTACGTTAGGTTGGAATTTAGCTTTGGAAACCAGGTGTGGAAGTCCCACTTTTTCCTTCCTCGCCCTCCCTCCTCCTTACCAACCCGTCCTCCTGCCTCTCCTCCTCTGTCTCTGTCTCTCTGTTCTTGTATTGGTGTTTCTCATTGCCAAATTCATTA